AACGACCGTCACATTATAACGCCCCCACGGCTGAAAGGGCGAGCATGTTTGGTGAGACGGGGATTCGAACCCGCGACCCTCAGATTGCGAGTCGAGTGCCTTATCCACCTGGCCATGATGAATTTATATATAAACCTATATTACAGCTGCTGATATAATGTTGATTTTAAGGCTCGTGTATACAAAAGCCTCTCTCTCTCTATGTTTGTTTGTTTGAGTTTTCCAAACTTTGTTTCACAAATAACTTGTCATTTGTGATGCAAATTGAATGAATTTGTTTGCTGCTACAATAAAGTTATTATAGACACACCAGAAGAACATCAGAATTATCGCATACATGCCAGAAATACAACATAATCACAGACATATAATACATGTAAAAAGCATTACAGACACACTAAAAATAAAGAAATTAATTATTTCATACACACACATATCAAAATGTAGCACTCAGTCATTACATACGTTCTTGAAATGCCCTCTAGTTTATCAACATCCAAACAAAGTTGAATACTCTCCACAAAAACAGTATTCTGATTTACTTACCATAATCGACATCAAAATGTAGGAGAAATATTGCAGTTCTACATTTATCTGACTTTAATAATTCATTACAAGCATACTCTGTCTTCTAGTCAATTTTAACACAGTTAACTTAGTAACTGAATATAGTTTTTCTCCTTAAGGTAGAGAAAATAACAGCAGACAACCAACAAGATCACTTACCTGAATAGAACACATTGTTGAGCAAACTTTACAGACAGTTAAGACTAAATAGCCGTGTGCAAAAAAGCACTTAAGCCTTTCAAGACTAATTTAATTCCTATTTATAGGTTGGTGGTCTGGAGTGCATACAAAAAGTTTCTAACATTTACAAACTGAATTTCATTATAGGTAAATAAAATAAAGAGTATTTAGGTCTTAATGTTTTTTAAATGTGAAAAAAGGTTATTAAAATGTATTGCTGGTGTTTTCAGGAACAAGAAAATGTGTGTGTGTAAACAAGTAGACAGACAGATAGATAGATATATCATAGAAGAAATATATACATTGGTGATGGCAGCAAAAGAATTACAAAAATAATAAAGACAAAGAACTTAAGCAGATTCAAAAAGTTTAGCTTGGAAGTGAGTTGAAATATCACGTGCCAAGTATAGATAACTTAGTTTACAAAATAAAGGTTGTTGTTGCTATTTAGTTAAAACTAAACTTGGAACCAAGCATAGCTTTGCCCTATGGTGAAAATGAAATATTTTGTAGTTCATCAAAATAAATAAATAAAAAGCTTATACTACTAGATGGAGTATCTCATCTATTTTATCTTAATGACAAATACTATCCAGTATTGTATTACACATATACCATCAGTCTAAAAAGGATTAAAACAACATATACTCACAGTGGATGGCAGAACTTGTACAAATAAGATATAATTAACAGAATATCACCTCAAGCTAAGTAATATAACTCATAATTAAACTATAGAGGGACAGGAAAGTAAATAATCACATATTGGATATACATATAAACCATTTGGAATCTAATAAAAAGTACAAATAATCTGATTAAATAATTATAATAATGTGAAACACATTACAGACCAACATTGATAATCATCAGAAACTGATCTTTTAAAGTATTAAATACAGCTTCAACTATAGCTCTATCATGGCTCAAAAACTTATTAAATTATACCTATTTTATGTATTAATGGTACTTAGATTTTAACTGTTAAATGTATCAAAAAAAAATTCTCAGTTTTGTAATGTTCATATCCTACAGAATAAATCCCAGTATTCAGATTATGAATGGCACAAAGAACGTCAGAAATATGAGGAGTTTTAGGGAATACTTACGTATCATCAGAACTGGACAGGTACTGGGACAGATGTACCGACTGTTGCTGTCTTTGTGATTCCAGTCAAAGTCTACACCTGTGCTACACCATGAGTCTGTGTCTCCCTCTTCCATAACACATGACATATTAGTCACGGGCAAACCAGGGAAAGTAATGGGTATAATACAGGTCTCGTTTAGCCGGTCAGTCGTCTGATTGTAGCACACTAAGAGCAGAACGGAGAAATCAAATTCTCACATCATTAGAACAAGACAAATTAGGTTTTTACTCATGTTACCAAAACAACCACAGAGTAATATAAGTACAATGTCAGGATAAAAAATTAAATGTTTATCCATCAGATTAAACATTTGTCTAAAACTTGACACAAAAAGTCTTAGCAAAAATTTAAGTTGGGTATAACAATTCATGAAATGTTATAAATTAAAATCAATTTTATGGTTGGCAGCTTAAGAACAGTTCAATGAGTTTAAGATCAAACCAACTTATTAGAAATTTGCAAAATTCAATAATTTGCTTTTTTCTTTTATCAAGGTGTAATTGTTTTTTAACACAAAAAATGTGTTAAAAGCTTAAGAATTCACTTTGAAAATAAGTTTTATTCTTTGCCCATTACATGATCACCTGTATTATTCCTAACAAATGTCCTCACCTTGGTACTGGCAGAAATAAAAAATTTTGAATTACTTTGTTGCTACGTAAAGAAAGTCAAATACCCTTACCTTGATACTGGCAGAAATAAAGTAAAATTACACCGTTGTTACATGAAGTCAGATATCCTTACTTTGATACTCACAGAAATAAAATACAATTACTTTGTTGTTACATGAAGTCAGATACCCTTACCTTAGCAATGGAAGAAATAAAATAAAATTACATTGTTGTTACATGAAGTCAGATACCCTTACCTTAGCAATGGAAGAAATAAAATAAAATTACATTGTTGTTACATGAAGTCAGATACCCTTACCTTAGTAGTGGAAGAAATAAAATATTTAAAATTACATTGTTGCTTCAAGAAAAGCAAATATCCTCACCTTGGTATTGACAAAAATAAAAAATTTCTTCACCGTGTGCAACCTGGAACCAATTGTATGTGGGTGACATCAAAGCAACTCCAATGCCTCCCAGAACCTTTCTCTCCAAGTTAGGTTCAGAAGAGTACCAATTAGTGTATCTATTTTGGTGACGTCCAATTATAGGATAATTGTACCAATCTTTAATGTTCATTTTGTACTTCAACCCCAACCAAAAAGATGGAGATTCCTTTACCGAGTCATTACTGTGAAATTGTACATGCATGCTAAGAATAAGTTGTGGGATACTGCCATGTGGAACTGCGAGATCTTTGTACACCTGGTCTTTACACAGCTGGTAGGCTTCTTGTTCTGTTACCAAGTCAGCATTAACAAGGTAGCACTTTCCATCTATAAAAATACTGTCCCCATCACACTCTAGGTTACCTGAAAAAATGAAATGTATCATCTACGTATGTATTAAACCTCAAACCCTTTCTTTCTTTTACCCAAACTCTTCCTTATTTTACAAGTTTTGTAGCATCACAGGCTACTCTTCAGTATAAAGATTGTCCTGAACAGCCTTAAAATTTCTTTAGAAGTTATCCACAGCATATTTAAAGTACATCTTTAAAAATAAACACTATGAACTGCTTTTGAGAAAAAAAAAAAAAGAGAAATCATACTTCTCTAGCTCTTGGGAAAAGTCCAAAATACTGAGGTAAAAATTATGTCAGGTGTATTAAAATTTCGCCTCTGGTCCAAACAAAGAGTGCAAGTTTAAAATTTAAAAAAAGTTAACTTATGATTTTTTACAATTGCCTTTTTAATTCTATATGGATATATTGAAACATTAAAACAAATTCTTGCCTGTATCAAACTTCAGTGTAATAGTGCTAAATAAAACAATTTATCAAAAATTTTGTTGTATGATACAAATACAGTAATTTAGTTATCAAATATATATCTTGATAAACATTATATGAATCGGGTTTTATGTGAAATAAATCTTCCTGTCTAATATAGTACCAGAACTTCCTCATCAGTAATTTATTTACAAAATATAGATGTATTGATACACATTACATGATTCTGATATTATGTGAAACTAAACTTCCTGTGTAATGTAGTATTAGAACTTCCTAGCCAGTAGTTTTGAAACTATTAATTTTTGGGAACTATGAATGTACTTTTTATGAAGGTTTCAACAATTAATGTATTCAACATTTTTAAGTAGAAAAAACTCTGAAACAAAATGCAATCAAACAAGATCATATTTTTCAAACCTAGTGTAAAAGTTTGTTTGTTTGTTATGGATTTTGCGCAAAGCTACACGAGGGCTATCTGCACTAGCCATCCATAATTTAGCAGTGACAGACTAGAGGGACAACAGCTAGTCAGCACCATCCACCACCAACTCTTGGGCTACTCTTTTACCAACGAATAGTGGGATTGATTGTCATATTATAAAGCCCCCATGGCTGAAAGGGTGAGCATGTTTGGTGAGATGTGGATTTGAACCCACGACCCTTACAGAGTGTGAGCCGAGCGCCCTAACCACCTGGCCATGCCGGGCCTAATGTAAAAGTAACCATAAAAAAAGTAAATATAAAACTCTCACAGTCTCACCTGGATTTTCACATACAAAAGTATACTCTACATCACAGTCTGATCTCAAAAGTGTGGAGTCATTGCTTGAAAGGTACACACACTTATCATTAGACACAGGGTTTTTATTCTTGTCTTTGTCCCATTCACTAAAAACTGGAATGATTTCTCCATCTGATCCTCTCCACTGTCCACCATAATGGTATCCTCCAACCCAGGCATTTGTACCACTAGGTAGTAGAATCTGTAGTGTCTCAATTCCAAATTTATCTTTTATCAAAGCCAAGTAACTACTCTCACGTGCACAATATAACAATGCCATGAAGAACTTCTGTGGTACATCAACATATTTATAACATGTTCTACCATAGTTGATATACCCTTGTGGACATGATCCTGTAAAAAAAAATAAGTTTATGTTTCTAAAATACATAATATAAGTTATAAACATAGATGGAACACACATAAGCTTCCACATAATGTTTGTTTCTTGCTTTTTTTTTTTGTAAACTAAATAATCAGTCAACTTCGAGACCTGTTCTTCCTGCTGGAAACCTCTACCAAAAAACAAGTTCATTAAAATGAAACTTAAATACCTTGCTTTCTGGTATAATTATATTGAAGACATAACAAAGTTAATTATCTAAATCTTCACCAGATGGTGCTGTACATACTACTGAGAAGTCTTAGATTCATTATAAAATTTAAATTAGTCGAAGTAAAAGTCGTGGGTTGTTTTTTAATTTAGTTAATGAAGTTAAACCTTCAAGTTCACCCTTTATAAAAGTCTCCACTGAAAGTAAGATGCCCAGAAACTGCACAAAATCCTTGTTCCTTCCCACTTGTCAAGATCTAGACACACTACTTTTTGTAGTTAAGTAGAAGACCTTAATTTTGAAGTAAATTTCAGAAATATCTGTCCTTTAAGTTTAAAGACAAAATGCTTGAAATAGAGAGTTGGCTAAAAAAAAAGATACTAGTCCTTTATTATAAAAATAATAAAGACTCATTTTAAGTATCTATCTCTGTATTTCTTAGCTTCTCACTACAAACAAGAACAATTGGGTTTTGAGTTGAGAACCAACAAGAAACAATAACTTCTTAACCATAAATATCTTAAATTCATCCTCCTATATTTGTCCTGATAATTTTTGTCATCTAAATGGTTCAAATCTGCAACATAGTTTAGAGAATGTTTATTTAGTTCTAACTCCACTTGAAACACAAACAGATTTCGTAAGTAACATATGTTATAGCATATGCAGAACAGTGAGTGGTGTTCCATAATTACAATATTTTTACACACACGTTCATTATTATTATTATTAGTGATCTTTTCATATCTTATTGTCACTTATACCTTTTGGCTAGTTCTTAGGGTTTAACTTAATCACGTGTGTGTATAAGAGTAAGTTTTACAGTCTGATGAGTTGTATTACACAAAGTTAAATTAGCTTGTTTAGTAAATTATTTTGATTATGGTTGACCTGGTTATTTTATTTACACAATTAATATTTTTATTTACTACTTAATGTACAATGTCATTATTAAGTTAATCTATTATTCTGTACCTTCATAAACATTAGTTTTCTGCTGTACTGTCCTGCTTCCAGACTATATAGTAACTACTTCAGATATCAAGCTTTTCTAAGGTTACACTGTCAGAATCATTTAGTAGGCTTTCATTAGTCAAGTGTTGTTTGGGAGGAAAATATCAAATTTGGAATATACGTCACACTTTTCAAGAGTCAACGGAATTGGAGATAGTGCAAACAAGTAGTTTTTTATGTATTTCGGAAGTCAGTTATATTATACTTTTTCTTCTGTGTTAATTTTATTAATAGTATTGATTAAAATATGCTAACTAATTCTACTTATTTTTATCTAAATATTTTTATTACCCATTATTTGTCATAATTTTCCAGTGGTAACTTAGTACATGAATTTAGTGCTAACCAAAATCTTCTCAACTGGCCGAGCCTCACGAGATATTGGGATTACAGCCAAAAATACTGCTAGTAGGGAAAGTACTCAACTGATAAAACAATTAATTCTAATTATTATGAGTTTTATGACTTTTGACAATCCTAGTTAGATCAGTATATTAAATTAGTTATAATAATTAATGGGTTGATTTTTTGTTTTATGTATAAAGATTGCTCATATCAGAAATTAACAGCAGCACTATGATACCTATGAACATAAAAAAGATTGTAAATTACAAAGGTGTAAATCAAGAAGTTTTAGGTTAATCTCAAAACAATTATTTTAACCAATAAACTAATCTATGTATCTCCCACAAAAGTTTTTAAAAAATTTTCCTCTGTTTTAAAATACACATAATTAAATTTTTATTATTATTATCATTATTTACATCTGTACATTTTTCCAATCCCAAAGTTAAATAAAAACTTCAAGTGCAGAACGTACAGTACTGGAATTAATTATGGAATAAAATGCAAATATTATGGCATTACTTTACCCTTAATGCATGAAAATCAGCTGTGGCAGATTCTGTAAATATTCATTTACTTAAATTGTATGAAGTTAAGAAAACAGGATCAGATACAATATTCTCTTTACTAACTTGGAATTATTTGGAATGCATGATCAGTTTGGCCATCAGTTATAAGAAGAATGTCCTGTGAATTTTTTGAGATACTGCCATAGCCTGCTGCCAAACTCCACTGCCTCAAGAAATCTTTCGTGTCCTGAGGAGTATCATCCTTAAAAACACTAGCTGTGTTTGATGCTGAGCTATCGTAATCTATCAACTCAATCCACTGATTTTTGAAGAAGATATTCTTTTCTTGCAATCTTAGTCCTAGTAAACAAAACAAAGGTATTTAAACATCTTTAACAATAACCACATGAAGCACCTTTTCATTAATTTACTCAATAATTATTGATAATAGAATACAAAAACTGTTTATTATCTTTGAAAAAAGAATGTTTTTTCAAATGTTTAGGATGTTATTATGACAAAACTACATTTAAGGAAAATTGTGAATTACTTACAAGCTACATTCACAGGATTAACTGCAATAATAATTTTACAGGAGATATAGATTTTAGAGTAGAAAAATAAATGTAAACAATAGATAACTATCTGTGTGTTATTAACAGGAGTGATAGTTTAGCAATTTTCTGCCTTATGTAGCTCAGACTGTGGTACTCCAAACTATCACATATTTCCAGTGGATACATTCTTACTGGAAACTTACTTCACATACCAAATTTCAAGGCAATCCATTAAGAAATACAAGAGATATAAAATCTCCAATTTTGATTGAATTTTTTCCTTTTTTTCTTCTTCTTCACACTGAAAGCATGGAAACTGTATTTGATAGAAAAACAAAATTAAATTTATGGATTTTTTTCAAACTTGGTACATTGATAGATCTTTACAACTAACAATTAGGTGTCAAATATGGTCTAAATATAAGCCACATGTGTAAAGTTATTCAAGAAAACTGCTCAAACTTGATCAACATTTTTGCACACGCCTATGCAAAAAGTCATGTGAGCTATCAGTCTCAAATTTTTACTACAGCTTCACCTAAGAATAAAAGTGGAACATTTTTAGTTTTTTTTTCATTTGGAATAAAGACTGCTGATTTAGAGCAGTAAAACTATAGGGTGAAAGGACGTGTAGATACATAAGTTTTGATTAGGCCAAGCAAACTATATTATCAGTTTCTAGCTCACGTTTTCAAAAGGATCATATGGGTGGATGGTTGTTATTCATTATTCATTGCCACCTTTAAAGCACAAGTTTGCAAAATCTTATGAATTATCCTAATTAAAGAGTATTTAGCATCACGTGATATTAGCTTAAGCAATTAGCATAAATAATGACACTTAATATGTGTGTGGGTGATGAAAAGAAACTATTAATCTAGATTCTATGACATTACTATAAAGGAAGTTATTAACACTGTTTTAGAGAGGAAAAACTACCACCATATGTGTTAAAGAATCTGGTTGGTTCTGTAAAGTATTGGTGTGTTCTGAATAATAAAGGTGCTATCCTAAAGCTAATGTTGATTACTATTGAGTGTCACTTTCTTTATTTCTGTGGTTTGTTGGTGTGTATTTGGGTTATCATAATCTGAATTATAAGTAAAAGGGAATAACCTTAACAGTATCATGAAAGAAAGGGATGAAGGTGTCATAGTTGATCAGTCTCTAAAGACATCCAAGCAGTGTGCTGTTGCTAGTGTTAGGGCAAATAGGATTTTAGGTTGTACCTACAGAAATATTGAATACAAGTCTAAAGAGGTTATAATTTCATTGTATAGGTCACTGGTTAGGCCATATTTGGAGTATTGTGTTCAGTCTTGGGCTTCTTACCTTAGGAAAGACATTGAATTGTTGAAAAGGGTTCTAAGGATGGTTATTAGAATGGTGCCTGGGAGTAATTGTCACTGGTTAGGCCACATTTGGAATATTGTGTTCAGTCTTGAGCTCCTTACCTTAGGAAAGACATTGAATTGTTGAAAAGGGTTCTGAGGATGGTTATTAGAATGGTGCCTGGGAGTAATTGCCACTGGTTAGGCCACATTTGGAATATTGTGTTCAGTCTTGAGCTCCTTACCTTAGGAAGGACATTGAATTGTTTACCCACCATCATGCCCCAAGTTGAACAAAAAATGTGGCCTGGCTAACTAACGAATGAATTTTTGCTGTAAAATTCTTATCAATGCTATAAGTGTAGCTACCAGTTTGGGTGCCAATTTTGATTTCATTCCTTTAAGTTGCACGCTCTATCCTTTTTTGGCTGCACCTTTTTCTTTCACACCTAAAGTGTTTTTGATTAGATAATATTATACCAAGAAACAAAATTGATGTAAAAACTTACCTAGACTCATTGTTGTTTTCCATATTTACCTTATATTTTCAAACCAATACTTACCACTAGATTCTACCTCACATATAAAAGGTATTTTCTGATTACAGTCATGTCCTGACAGGTGCTTTTGATGAAAAAAGACCATGCACAATTCTTCACTCTCACTTATATTCCTTCTTACTCCTTTAAAGAATGAACCAAGTTTCTGGCCATCACTGAAGTACCAAGTGCCATCATACCAGCGTGATGACAAACCCATCCAATGACGACTGGTGACAGCAAGTTTCTCAGCTGCATAATTATGAGTTCTACCATCAGTAATGTCAGCAAGTCGGCCGCCTCTGTCAGCACATTTTACCTCAGCCATTGAATAGTTTGTTGAACCGGAAACTCGCTCCAGGCTTCTGTATAAATCATACAGCCCAGAACCTCTCATAGTGTAGACGATATAATGAGCTGAAGCATAAAGAGGGTATTTTTAAATTACTTATTATTCACAAAATTGATAATGAATCACACTGTACATGCAAAACAAAGTGAAAATTTTTTATACCAGTGCATAAACATTTTACATAAATGGTTCCCCAACAATTTAAGATAAATATATTTATGCATAATATTTTACAATATTAATGAATCACAAAATTCTTCAAAAATTATTAAATTGAAAAACACCAAGTTTAGTTCTTTTTTTATCTAATTTTCTACTCATAAAACAAGTACTATCCTGTTAAAATAGATATACTGTATCTTTTCATAAGGAAAAAAACAAAACAAGTATATGTATTATCCTATTGAAATTAACAGTCAGTATCATTCATATAAATGTGCTGGCCAATGTTTCAGTAAGGATAAAACCTTGTCAGAAATTTACCTCTTGGGCATATATTATTTAATACATTTTCTGCACGTTTTCACTAATTCACATGCAACAGGATCAACAATGACACTACTGGTTGATTTTTCTTCTTTTGCCTGGTCTATGGAAACTTATCTTCAATTAACTTTTAAGTTCATCTTTGTTAATAAAAGGTGAAGGTTTCATTACAAATCTCTGGTAAACAGATATAACATCTGTCAACTCTTTTAGAACCTGTGATCAGCATTGTCAACCAGCTTGTAGTAAAATCTGTATTATTTCAATAAAATTTTCAGACACTACTCTTGTGTTCTACCTAAATGGTTTGACTCTCAAGGTTGTAGTTCCCTCTTTAAATTTAAAGTTTTTCAACATCTCCCTTTAATACTAATATTTCTAATATCTAGCTCTGTTGATTCAACTGCAGTAGCAACGGCCCCTGAAACAAAACTGGTACCTAAAGACTGATTCTGCAATAACTGGGTAAAGCTAGGTATCACAATCGCCAGCAGGTAAACTGTGTAAATGAATCTTCTTTATTCTTTGGTTCTTTAGTCCTAACAATGAGAATGAATATAGGCCAGGTAGACTATACAGAATTAATTGTAAAATGCAAACCATCTGATCTTGTGTACTTCTTTCAACTTTAGTTTCTCATGATCCAACAATTTTTAAAGACAATTCTGATGTTTGAATTGTGGATTTCTTGACATGCCAAAAAAGTCTTGTCAGAACATCTTGAAACTTCTTGCCAATTCGATTAGCTAGCTTGGCTGTTTTAAGTGTACAAAGAGCTTGCAGGTGGGCAAAACAATGAATATTTATATAAAATTTGATATCAACTTCAATTGTCTCGTCTGTCATCACCACTTACAAATGTGTAGAGTTTGTCAAGACTAATGCCTTTGTTAGCCATAAAGTTATTTATGTGTAAAAACATAACTTCTGCAATAGGAGGCAGTTAATCAAGGCAAATATTTTCAAGAAAACAGTTTGTAGTTGAAAAGAATCAGAACTTGTGAGGTAGCAAATTTTACTTTTATTTTGCTATGGTTTTGTTTACCATTCATTTATCATTCCTTCTGTTATTTAGTTCAACTATTAATTTTTAGTTACAATAAAGTGCTAACTCATCTTCTACCTAGAGCACATTTATTTTGAGTATATATGTACTATGAAACTGACACAAGCTTCCCCTAGTGGTGATGTACAGATATTAATGTTGTGAAAGGTTATGTAGATTTATGGTAATAGCTAGTCACATGAGATGTAACCTCATGGTCTAACCACTAAATAGAGAGCCTTCCTTGATCTTGAAAATGGGTAAGTTAATAAGATATAGTCAAAAAGAGTTATTGTTAATTATTGGTAGATATTGAGAAGTGGTTTAATTTTGTGTTATTATCTGGTGAATTAGGTTTTTTTATTTTTCCGATTCTTTTTTTTTCTAAATTTCTGTGACATTTATTAAAAGTCAATATTTTCCTAAACTGAACATGTATTTCCAACAGTACTTACCTCTGCTGACACTATAACCCCCCAGTGGCACATTGGTATGTCTTGCGGACTTACACTGCTAGAAACCAGGTTTAAATACCCGTGGTGGGCAGAGCACAGATAATCTGTTGTGTAGCTTTTTGCTTAACAACAAACAAGCAAACAAACCCTGGAGATCAAGAAATAGCTATAGTGTCAGTGGAGGTATGTATGTTTTGGTATTAATCATATTGAAATTTATGTTATATTGTTTATTAACATTATCTCAATATGATTAATTCCAAAACATATGGCATGGGTTTCCTAATTATTTTTTGTAAGTGATAAAATTTGTATTCTACTTGTTTGAAAGTGTTTTTTTTCTGTTTTAATAAATTGTTTTTGTTTAACCCTGGTTGAAGCAGTATTTTTTAGGTATTCTAGTTGTTTGAAAGTGATGTTTTTTTTCTGTTTTAATAAGCTGTTTTTGTTTAACCCTGGTTGAAGCAGTATTTTTTAGGTATTCTTGTTGTTTGAACGTGTTGTTTTTTTTCTGTTTTGATAAGTTGTTGTTTTTTTAACCCTGGTTGAAGCAGAATTTTTTAGGCCATTACAAACTGACAATTTGTGCATAAGTCACAAGCATTTTTGGAAAAAAAATATTTCGTCAAACATTATAGAAAAAATGTTCACATTTCTGGAGCTTGCAAATTATACTACTGTTGATCACACCAACAACTACTTCTTGCATTCCTTCAATAGTTTGCTATGAAAGATAACAAGGAATCTTTCCACATTGTAAGTTCAATAGCTCACATTCAAAGATTGGAATAAAGTGGTAAGAAATTGGTATTTAACTTTCATGCGAGCCAATACACACACACATTTTATATACACATCATCTGCTCCATTCTCTTGTGTGATATTATCACTTGGAGTCAAGACAAAATTGAGTCTCAAACAAAGTGTATGTAATCAGTAGATTGTTGGTGTCACTCTAATGTTGAAGTATGATAACTTTTGCATCATTTTGTCATTGTATTGTTTCTTTTAGAACTCAAACAGAATGACAGATCATATGTCCAGGTTTCAATTGGTCCAAGAAATAGGACCGAAAGTTGTTCTCAAATTCAATCTTCATATTCGTTGATCAACTTGAAACTTTAGTATCAACAATAATGTTAGGGTCTACATATTTTCTGAATATGTGTATCACTTTTATCTACAACAAGTTCCAGGTCAATAATGGTGTTAGTAGATTGAGGCAGGCAGATCTAGATCAGCTTAAGTCAAAATAGGTCTTTAAACATGAGTCTCAGCCTAAAATAGTATTTCTCTCAACATACCTATCAAAATGGGCTTACTGAATTAGGCAAGGAAAATAAAAAAAGAAAAAGAACTACAAACAGATCTTGACATGATCAAAGACTTAAGCTTAACTAATCAAAGTTAGCTTCTTGGAATCATTAAGAAAATGAAATGGTGGTATAGGCCTACTAACTATAAAGTAAATACTGTCTTCCTAGATCTCAAAAGGCATGTGTAATTTCAGTTTCTGCTGCACATTACTCAATATCAATAATCATTTATGGCCAAAACAACTGTTAAAAATGGCACACACAAACTGCTACATTTTTCACACAGCCTCCTTATCATTGGTAAAACTGTATATAGAAGTTAATTGTTCAATTGTTTTTGGTCATTAGAACTAGTAACAGCTATTGTTTTTAAATTAGAAATAATTATACAACTAAGTGAAACCTACAGGTGAGCTGGTGCTACATAACCTTGAACTTAACAATCAATCCCTAAAGTACTACAGTCTTATCTTATGTCAAGTCTAGCCCTCAAAACCCTGGCAAAATGCCATGAAATATGTACGTGCAATTAAGTATCCTGGCTGGAACATTGAAAATGGTAAAAAGATACTGAACTCTAACATTTATGAAACTTAGAAATGAAAACTATTGCAAAATAAATGCAGTTTGTAATTTCGTTACTTGTTAACCCCCAAAAATGTTGTTCTTACCTTTGTGTTGGCAGACAAAAGCATATTGGTTTTGACAGTTCTCTGTGATAAACTGAATGCTATTTTGATCTTTCTTTAAGACAACACAAGAGGGCTCACTTCCAGCCATGTTAACCCACAAGTTTAAGGATGTTTGTTGAATAATTCCAAACAAGAAAGACTGTACATCTGGATCACCTACAAGCACCAGCTCTGTGTTTTCAGATTGACAGATACTGGAAGCTTCTGAATTTGTGGACTCATTGCTATGTAGTTTATAACAATAACCATCAAACAGCCGGTAGCCATTGTTACACTGCTTAGCTAGAAACAAATAAATTAGAATCTTTGTCAGCTTTCACTTCAACGTGAATTCAAATAAATTGTTATCTAGATGATAACTCCAACACCAAATGGATATCATTGGCCATATTCAATATGTTAACTGAATTTCAGTGCAATAATCCTACAATGTATGTAGTTAAAATATACTGACAAAAATAGTTGATGGTGAAGGAACTCATAAAACTTACCAATATCTATAACAGGAAATTTGTTTTCTTTATCACTGTATTTTCTGATGATTTTGTTGGTATAAATTTTTCGTGTTTTTAATATGGAGTTTATATATTATGCTGTATTCAAGAACACTAAGATAAACGAATATGTAACCACTTTTTATGTAAGAAAACCAAAACACATCAAATAATTACTGGCTCATGCAATAAAATAACTTTCTAATAAATGGAAAGAAAAACTGTTTCTAAAAAAGTATATTATGGTTTTTTATTAATTAAAAAAATATTAATGTTACATAGGTTGAAGGTGATGCATTATAACATCCAACTCTGTAACTAATTAAAACCAATAAAAGCCTTCAAACATACATTTTTCATCCCAGAACTCCATATAGACTCAATTTACAGAAGATTTTAAGATCTGCAAAGTATATTCTGTTTAATCAATGTCTAATCAATAATGTTTAATCAATATGTCTATAATGCACATGTATTTTCAAAGTAATTACATCTAAAATGAAAGCTTCAAGATATTAAATATGTTATATGTCATGATCAAAACTCAAATATCACACAATTCAAGTAATAAAGAAAACTTACATCTTTTAATGAACACAAATTGTCATAACTTTTGGTATTTTACAAAACATTCTCATATTAATCCATTAAACATCATGAACACCCAAATAGTATAAGCAACATTATTATAAAAAACATAAAATATCAAATTAAAAGTATGAAACAAACCTTTTTTTTCACAAATAAAGCTATGTCTATAATGGCAGTAGGTCTGGCTGAACTGTTTTTCTGTAGTTTGCACAACACATTTATCTGCCTTGACACTGTAAACTTCACCAAGCCACACTTTATCATCATCCAAGTTAAGGGAAAATAAATTATCTTCTTCTTCCTCGTTTCCAATATTTAGCAATGTAGCCCCATTATGCTGACAAACTTCCGTTGCTTTGTTCCACTTTTCCTTCTGTGCAAATAATTTTATGCAAGTTCCTTTACTGTCAAAAAGTTGGAACCCATCTGTACACACACTGTCCGACACAGCTGGACCTACCAAAAACAAATCTCATTTTATTTTGCAAAGTACTAGATGGAAAATAATTCATCAAAAACAAAATTATAAACTATGATTTTCTTTTACATTTCAGAAACTAGGCTAAATTAATATTCGTTAAATCATATAATGTTTTTCCTTTTTTAAATTAGGCACTTGTACTGTACATTCTTCATATTTTTTACAATGATTTGTTGTAGATTTAACAAAAGCAAAATAGTTTTCTCAGCCCATCTACAGAGGGTTCAGTATGTTGGACCAAAACACTTCCTAATATGCAAATCAACAAATCATGCATCAATCACAGCTGAAATAAAAGTTGGAATGAAATAGCATGTATTAGACATACATTTTGACATTTTTCATAGGCAGTGTGATACCACAAAAAATAGATCAAATTTCGAAAAGTTGTGTTATAACCTTATCGATTTCTATAAGATCAGACTGTTGAGATGGATGCTGGGAGATCATCATTCTCATACACTAGATTAATTATGGAAAAAAAAGCAGGAAGGAGAGGTATGCTTTGGACATGGTAGCCTTACAGCAGAAACTTTTGCAATAGAAAATACACTGCATGGCTATTGTCAAGATGCATAATCATCAGACAGACATGGCAATAGGGACTTTAATGATGTGGTGAGGCTCCAAAGTCATTTTAATATAATGTACTCAGCCTCTGTATTTGTGAAAATTTTGATGTGACTTAATTAAATTTAAATATATATAGTTATTATTTTTCACCCCAAAATAATATTACCTTATAATTATCTATTTTGTATCATTAAATCAATACAAAAGTTACTAACTTTTTTAAAAAAATTAAATAGACAATAGCTGCTTGGATTTACCTCCAACACCATAGTATCTCTGGCAAATGACTCTTTTGCTTGTCTCACAGTTCACATTTTGCTGCAGGCCATCAATTTCCAGTGAAGAACAAACCGAGTTAGATTTTTTTATCCACCAACCAGAGGCATCATCGGACCGAAAAAGGGAAAGCTTAAAAAATTCTACATAAATTTTGTCAGATATGTTCAGCACTGTTCCTTGATCATTAATACAAGTTTGTTCAGCTTCCGTATAGTTCATTTGAGCCACATTATCAAAAGCTTTATAACAAATCCCATTATAGGGCTTGTAATCATCAAAGCACCAAGGACCTTGAAATAATAACAGATTTTAAATAAATGTTGACATGTGGACAAGATATACATTTTAAAAAACCTCTCATATCCATATCTCATATCACTAAAGCAGCAAGACTACATTTAACTGTAATGGGCTATTTCGTAGTTCTTGTATTCATAAATCTTTACATCATAAAAAATGAGCCAACATACAACAAGCAGTTACATTAATACTAGTACTTTCACAAGGTACTATTTTATGCATGACTTTTAGGTGCTTCAAAAATTATTTTTAATCCAGTGTTCTTTGACAAGCCGTTAAAATGAGTGTCAAGATTGGGATTATTCTTCCATAAACCTTGAGAAACTTCTGATATGCAAACAAGATAAACAGTAATCATTATTAGCTGATAACTTTGTAACCGAATTTAATCCATGTTATCACACTGCAAAATACTAGAAGTTGCAGTGATTTAACAAATTTCATTTATTATATTTTAATCAAATAAACACTTTTAGAAAATATTCATGAGAAATTTGCAGGAATAAAAACTTGTACAGACTTCATCTGCCTGTTGGCTTGAGAACAATGTTTCGAACTGCTAGTGCTGGTCTTCATCAGGACAACAATTCACCATGTTTGACCTACAGACTTGCATTAACAGTTCAAAACATTGTCCTCAAGTCAACAGCCATAAAAGTTTCAACTCCAGGGTATTCTGCTCTGCCTAATCTTTCGCCTAAATGAAAGTTTTTTTTTTATTAAATCTTATATTTTAAGTTATTTTTATAAAAAAATGTCAAATTGAGAGCTACCATTTCATTTGTTTATAAAATATCAAAAAATTATGATGAGCCTGAGACATAAATGAAATATTAATCATAGCTTTGTCTACATTGGTCTGAAAGATTATAAACTGCATTAACTTTCTCACTATGGGCTTAGCGAAATACACCAGCCTTGTGAAACCAGAGTAACCATCATAATCTCTATACCATAGCTTTTAACACATTTTGTGTATCTTAACAAATGTTTTAAGCTTTCAGTAAACTTCACAAGTGTAGTAAAAAAAATCCGAATTTTAATTAAGTATTTTTGTTTAAAATTTTCCATGAATATATTGAGTTAAAGTTTTGATTGCTCCAAGTGCAAAGAGATTTTCATATTAAGATTAAAAATACTATTTTTCATCTGTTAATTTTCTAGTTTCACTTGTGTAAATTCTAAAACCTCGTAAATAAATATAAAATTTTTTTTCAGTAAAACTACATTTTTCTGTTATTTTCTCTACCCTAACTCTATACAGGATCAGTCAAATTGACTGGCCTGGTAACCACCATACAAAATTAGGAAATCTAAATTACCCTTTTTTCTTTATCGAATGACTGCCAGTTATAACAGGAAATAACTTGATTAAATAACTTCAAGCTCGTAACAGTAAACACCTGTTTATACTTACCTTTACTGTTTTATTGCCCTTTGCACCATGTCTAACTAATATCCCACTATAAAAGTTATAAATCATTCAGCGCAAATGCAGTTCATGTTACCATATTGAATTATGCAATGTTCGAACTGCTCGTAGGCATATCTCGTGAAGAATTTTTATTATTATTACTTTTCATTACCTCACCTAATTTAACCATATCTAATCTAATAAGTTTCTAATTTTTACATTTTAGTAACTTTTATAACAATAAGTAAAGAATACACATGAAAAACAGTACTTATCAGGGTCTCTTGTTGTTTTTTTGTTGTTGTCAACTGCTGGTGAAAGTTAAGTTTACTTTTTTAAATACTAATGGTACTACTACGCTAAATAATTTTTATTTAATTAAATAATATACAAAAACACACAGAATAATAACATGCACAAAACAAAAAATGTCTTATAATTTTCATATTTTTTCTGGCTTTCTGACAATGTGATAAGAGCCTTAAAAAATTCAGCTAAACTTGTCAATGATATTCCGGTGAAAAAAAAAAAAAGTTTTGAATTGGAGGCAAAATAGACAATTCTCTGTACAGAAAACAACGTAATATGTCATTTGATAGATTTAAACTTTGTCTTTCTATTGCTATAAAACATTAGAGAGAACTATTGGCAATTAGTGAAAGAGAGGATGTGACAGTTGGGTGTGGTAAGTGGGTCTGATTTTCTAGTTTACGGCTTCATAAATATTAAAATTGAAGGCCACAAAAATTATGCTTTGCCTGAGTAATATCTATATTATAATGAGTAATTTACATTACATTTTGTACTTTTCAGAGGAATAGAAGATAAATTAAAGATGAAAGAACTAGAGAACAACAGCCACAATTCTCATACTAGGAGAGATTGGAGATTTTTTAAATATTTCCTTATAAAATTAAGAACTTAAAACTTACATACTATTAAAATTTGATATATTAACTAGGTTTTTGATGCCAAGTTTATTCATATACAATGATAAAGTAGTTTAATTACATTTGGAATGTAACTCCATGTAAAGTTGTGACATGCACACTTTGGCAATAAAAGTTCATACTACATACTGTAAAACACATTTACAAAGAAATAAATACTTAAGTTTAAAGAAAAGTTCAATGTAAATATATTGACTACAAACTGAGAGATCTACTTGATTGCAAGATCTTCTAATCATATTTACATTTATTTTTTTCTAAATTCACGTATCCTGCTTACATCCATACCTCTGTTTATGCGTTATCAAAAAAATGTATACGTACTAGGTGGATATACACACAGAGCTGGAAGAGTTAGGTTACATGGGAATCCTTCCCATTCAGATTCCATGTATACAGTTACACAAGTTTCATCTCTAGGTGACAGATCAGCACTGACAAAATCTGACAAAGTACTTTCGTCACTCAGTATCCATTGGTTGGTTTCTAATGTACGTGAAATACCAACCCAGTAACGCTGCTCATTCCCTTTTTTAGCTAACGCGATCAACGTGTTCAGGTAGGGTACATCAGTCACAGCAGCTAGCCGACCTCCCTCTTCTGCACATTCCACTTGAGATTCCACAAAAGTTTTTCTTTCATTTTCAAAAACTTTCACACATTTGTGACCATAGAGCACATAACCCTGTGGACAACTGAGCTCTGATAAAAAAAAAAAGAAATTAAATTTTGGTGAGTGGCTAATAAATGAAAAAAATTTTCTTTATTCTTCCAGCTGTCAAAACTGAAATTTATGAATACTCTTTACAGTCAAGAAAGTTTATTCATTTATTACATCCCACTGTAATCATTAAACATTTCACATCTAGCTGCCAGATATATTAAATAAAAAAATAGTATTATTTAACACTTTGATAAATAGTATTACTTTGGAATTTAAATGAGAATTTAACTACACATTAAATGTTGAGTTAATTTTATTCAGTTTACCCCTGTATTAAACAAAACACCACAGTGATATAATCATACTAGGATTATTGTGTTCAAGACTATTGGCAATTCTGCTAAACAATGGACAGATATCTAACACTATTTTATGTCAACCTAAATATATATCACTTGAAAAGAGTGCTAAACAATGGACAGATATCTAACACTATTTTATGTCAACCTAAATATATATCACTTGAAAAGAGTGCTAAACAATGGACAGATATCTAACACTATTTTATGTCAACCTAAATATATATCACTTGAAAAGAGTGCTAAACAATGGACAGATATCTAACACTATTTTATGTCAACCTAAATAAATGTCACTTGACAAGAGTGCTAAGCAATGGACAGATATCTGTAACACTATTTTATGTCAACCTAAATAAATGTCACTTCACAGAGATGCAGAATCAATGCTAGCACTAGTTTTTGATCCACAAGTTTCAACACACACGTCACAAAAATCGTGCATCCCATCTTTCAGAAGTTGTGTTTAAATACTTAACTACTATTTGTTTGCACAAAATTAATGGACTTTTGCCATTCTGTTGAGATAAACATTTTTAATCATGTGAAAATGGTACTTAGACTTTAATATAATAGCTATCGAAAATAAAGTTGTCCAGGAACAATGTATTGGTCAGGATTTACACTTTGTCATGTGCCCTACGATAAATTATGCTGGTGATTCATTTACTTACAAGTTTCATGTAACAAAAACTCAATCTTGTGATTTTCACAAGTGGCGTCAAATATACTGTTCACTGTGTTTAAAAAACGCCAACCTCATGTTTTCAACTGTTTGCACACATGCACAAAGAATCTGTGTTAATGATAATATTAATTAGAACTTTTAATAGATAACTATTACTAGTTCCAGGCTAGATCTTGTTCAAAGCTGATAATTATTGACATAGCTTTCCACAAAAACAAAATGCTCACTTAAAATTTAAAATTTACTTGTATCAAGTTTGATTTGAGACTTAAATTATTCTGAAAAATATTAGTTTAGTTAATAATTTCAAATACAATTTATCAAGTTTATTTCATACGAGAGTATACTTTACAATATATAAAATACTGAGGACAAAGAATAATGAAAATATAACATGAATGCACAACTTTGTCTCTTGTAATTTTACTTTCATTCCACAATATTATTGAACAAACAGCAAAAAAATAACAGAGAATTAGAGACTGAACACAAAAAACTTTACTGATCAATCATGTAAGTCAATACACTACATTCTCATTACATGATCAGCTAATCAGATAGGGAAAAGACATATGATCAATTTTTAAAATAAAACTCACCAGTTCTTTGACAGATGTAACTTTTCAGTTCTTCACAAACTGAAACATTCCATTTATAGTACACATTTCCATTAGTAATTTTGTTCATGCTGCTACAAACATCCAAGGTAGATGTCAGTGCATTGTCTGGTGAGCCTCCTTCCCAGCTGTTGAAAAAGCTTGACCTCAGATTGGAACTATCTGCATATTTCCACCATTGCCAGTTCACAAAATTCAATCCTATCCAGGCAAACATTGGCAATGTTGTATCCTCAGCAGCCTCACCTGCCAAACCTTGAAGAAAATGCTGGGTGTCTCTATCCTTAACAACTGCCAAAACTGCATTCTCTGCTGCACACTTTTCTTCTGCTTCTTGGTAGGTGGCATTCTCCATTACCAGTTTATAGCAGCCGCTGTTGTGTTGGAAATAGCCATCTTCACATTCAAATTCTGTGGAATAATTTTTACAAGAAATTCAAGTTTTAAGATTTTTTACTTGATTCCATGATTAAATATTAGTCTCTTGCAAACTACTAATCTACTGAGAGTGATACCTTCCAGTTTGACCTCTCTTCTTAAATAATTGAGATCAGATCTTTCTGATAAAATTTTTTTTTAAAAGTTTTATTATTAGTATGATAACATTAAACAGAAACAGTATAGAACAAGACTTATATTATTTGTTTAGAATTACAGTACTATATTACATTTTCAAACAAAACGAAAATCATTTTTGATGCCTTACTCTCATAAAAAGAACTAAGAAAATGTAAACAATCAGTTTTTAATTAAAAAATTAATATCAACGGATATTTAATAGTTATAAGAAACAGTTAACGTCTATCAAATGTTTCACAACCATGCATTGCAATTCACACATCCAGCACAAACCTTCAATTATAATTACTTCACTTCAAAACCTTAACATTTCATTTCAATACAATAAATATTATTCTTAATTGCAAATATTTTATTAATATATATCAAATTTCAAAGTTTTTTCACAAATATACTGTTGCGTCAGCGAGTCACATGAC